AACTCATTAACACAACATGACACAAGACGAGACGCGTGGCGAGACGGTTCAGACCAGGAGGGACAAATAGGCCTCCATTTCTTAACATCCTTATGCTTAGGGATAACGTACGACCTACCGAATTTACCTTTTGGGTCCCATGGGGGGAGGCCTGAAAACCTGCCTAACTGATATAGTTCTTTACAGCTACTAATAACTTCGTCCTCAGTTTTGCGAACAATCTGTAGACCCGAATTTACAACAAACAGTCGTTTCATGCCTTCCGCATAAATCATCGGGCAACATGCATATGTATCACCTGCGTTGTGATCTAGTGGGCATAGCACCAGCCCCTCAAATTTCTACTTGCATTCCAGAACTTCCTTCTCTGAAATAGATCGCTTATTCACAGTCTCCCCCCACAAACAGTTCAAGAGCGAAGAAGATGAAAAGAGGAAATTCTTACCAAAAAATGAAGAAAAAGAGGAACTAATCTACGTATGTAAACTACTAGTACTAACTGCATAGTTAGGAATAGTAATATATTTTAGAATTATCCAGGAAAGATGGGAGGAAATTAACATCACTAAACCGAAATGATACGTGTCCATCCCGACGAGGGAAAGCAACATCCAAATTTTTGCAAGAACAAGAACAGTTATTAATCGCAGAAAAATGACGATAGTTATGAATCAATTCACCAACACTACGGTTCTTAGTCCAAACCAGCCTAAGGCGGCGGCAAACGATGTCCAAGTAGGAGGAAGGCAAATCAAACCCAAGGATGATCTTCTTACAAGCATCACGAATTCTGCTAGAAACCAAAGGGTCATCATATCTGATCCTAACGATCAAGCGTGCAGACAGTCTCAAGGAGAATTTCTTCCGACATGCATTGGACAGAATTATCTTAAGAGAGGTTCGAGAGCGTTTGCAGGTAAGAGTCTGTACTGCATCATAAAGCCTAATAAGACTGTCCAGATTGAAGCCAGACAGGGATTGCCGAGAAGATGGGGTGGAGAGAAGTCGAATTAGAGTATTCTTAAGAGGAAGCGCGCGAGAACAAAATTGCGAAATAGAATGGACAAAAATCTCGGAATCGGTGTGGAACCAGGAGCGGTAATTTTTAAGAAGAGAGATGGGTAAGTTAGTAGTAGAAAGGGTAGATGAGCAAAAAAGACGACGGATGAGCTTCCATTTTTCCGAGAAGCAAGAACCAGAAACAACTTTGATGGAAAAAGGAGTGGCAACGTCAGCTTCAAGAGCACGACGGAAAATAGAAATAAGGCTAGTAGAAGTGAGGTCAAAGGAGGAGGTAAAGACAAAAGGGAAATACCTATTAGAAGAGAAAGTGGCAGCCGAACCAGGTAAACCGCAAATATCATTCCGACATCGTTTCCGCCTTTCCTTTTTCCCTAGTCGGCATTTTTTATGCGGACGTTTATGATGCACGACAGAATTAAGAGATGGACTAAAGAAATTAATAAAGAATTTCTCTAATCCTAACAAATCATCCTCCGAAGCCGTACATAAAGGAATAGCGACATAAGAATTGATATTCACCCTCCTAAGTCATCTATACAACTTCCTATTGCCTCGAGCACGTGCTAGTGGTAAAGCAGCAGCAACATGTTTTTTCCACCTAACACTCAATGATCTCTTGGTACACCCAATATAAACATGATGACACCAAGGAGAAACAAGCGCGTAAACGACTGGACCCGGACAAGAATGCAAATCGTAACCCTTATGTAACAACAAAGATAAAAACCCCGCAAACTTACCTGTCCATTGGATTGCGTTCTGTGAAATTAACAAAATTACAACTAACCGAAATACATAATAAAGCTGATCCGAAGGCAGAATATCATGAAAATCACGACAAAATAGAGCCAGCTCCCATAGGTGAGACACGCTCAGGGAGTGTCCTCACTCCTCATCAACTTCCTCGTTGGACGTGGCATACTGTTGATCTTGTTCCTCCTCTTCTCGTTGCTCCCTATCTTTCAGCCAGGCCGAATAGTCGCGGCTGGCCCTGATTTCTGCCACGTCAGCCTTAGACTGCTCCTGTTTGATGTACGTGATCCCTTCATCCGTACAAATGGCCTCCATATCAGCCTTCTTCAGCTGGCGGAGCTCCTTCAACCGACCGTTCCGGAATCCAGCCATCTTGGCGACCTCCTGGTCATGAGAGTTTTTCCCAGTAACGTCATCTTTCTCATTCGTCTGCTCCGTACCCTTCCCTTCCATCTCGTCGTTCGATTCCACCTCAACAACTTTGAAAAGGTCTTCAGGTTTCGAGGAGTGGTTTTTCGGATTGCAGTTTTTCCTGTCGAGAGTCGGACACGAGCTGCCCCCATGCTCGCCATGCTTTCCTTGAGCATCTCAGCTTCCCTGAGAGCCATCTCCTTGTCCGCCAAAGCCGCCTTGTAGGCTTTATGCAGCGCTTCAAGATCCTTAGGAGTGTACATCGCACTGCTAGATGGCGCATTCCGCTGTTTCCCATGTGCAGGCTCCAGAGGTGGGCTCTTCTCCGTAATAGCCTCGGCCCCTCGTTTGCCTTTAGCAAACTCCTCCCGGAGGTCGATCACGTCCTTCTTAAGGTGCTTGTTCTCTGAGCGGAGCGCAGACACTTCACCGTTCTTCTCCTCAAGAGTATTACGGAAAGCTCCCAACTCCTTGACCTGCATCTGCAGGGCCAAAAACTCGTCCTGCTTGCCTAAAACAAACTTGGTTGATTCATTATTGTTTCTCAGCTCAGCTATCTCCCTCTACAGCCTTTCTTCCTCTCCCTCTTGCTCTTTTATCTTCAGCAACGCATCCTTCTCTTTACGAAGAGCCTCCAAGCGTTGTTCGCTGGTTTCTCCCTGGTTCTTGGATCTCAGTTCGCCCAGCTCACGCCGTAACTTGGAGACCTCGTCCTCGTCATCTTCGGGGATATCCACTTTTCTTCCCAAGGCTGATTCACAGACCGCCTTGACGCTAGTTCTCACAATCTTCCCTAATCTGGCTTCATGTTGTTCTCTATCCTTGATAGCCTGAGCTCTTTTTTCCTCCTCATCCTTCAGCTTATTCTTCTCCTCCTCCAACCTCTTTTGGTTTTCGATTTCTCGCTTACACTGCTCCCGTTTTTCCATCTGCTCTGAAAGCAGATCGTACATCCGATTAACCTTATCGTCCCTCTCTTGCTCCCTGTCCCGATAGCCTCCCGTCCACTGCCGATTGTAACGCTGATTATTGTCGTACCCTCGATTGTAACTATTGCTCCCACTATTGTAACTCCCATTGTTGTAACCACTTCCGCCATCGTTCCTGCTTTGCGGCCCTTGATAGGGTACAATAGCACTTGAGGTGCTAGCCCCTTGCGCCGGGGCTTGCAGGATGCCACCCGAGTCGTTTCTGTTCGTACCTCCATACGATCCTCCATCACGTATACGTGCCGCCATGTCAGCACCATTCGGCTGGAGTCGAAAGGGGCACTCCTGGATAAAATGCCCAGGTAGGTGGCATAAGTGACACACGCTACGAAGCGCCATCTGTACAGGGACTACTTCGTCCCTTCTACCCACAAAAGACGGGTCCAAGAAGAACCCTACGATACAAAGTAAACCAAAGTAAACCAGCGCAGTAAAGGAAGGAGTGAAGCTTGGGTGAAAGAGAAGGAAGGAAGAGAAGAAGGAAAAGAAGAAGAGAAATGATGAAATGAGAAATGAAAAAATGATAAATGAAAAATGAAAAAAAAAACGAAATGAAATTGAATGGGACGGAACGGGTGGGTGGTACGCAGTCACTCATACGGGGTATCATTCCCCTGCAGGTTCACTGTGTGTGTTGTAGTGAGAAGAAAGTCGTTACAACATTAGACTCACACGACAATAGGCCAAATAAAACAGGGCCGATCTGAATGCAATGATGAAGTAAGAGGGAGGGAAGACAGAGAAGAGACAAAGAAAGAGGATATGAAAAATGGAATACGCAAAGTCCCCCGAGCGTGTCAACTCGTATGATATTGCAAAAAACAGGTGACCAAAAGGCGCTTAGAACGCCAAAAAGCGGTGCAAGCACCGCGACATAAAGTGCAACTGGCGATTACCCTACAGCTGTTTCGGTCGGTCCGCCAGTGTACCGGTCATCGTCAGGGGTAGCGCTGGTGACAATTGGTAAGCAAAAGAGAGACTAAATACTTCTACAGCAAAGCGAACTACAAAACGGATCGGACCAAATGATGACCCAGTTCCTGGTTTTGGTCCCGAAAAAATGGGGTCCGATAATCCCAGATCCAATTCGTAAAACATCGAGCCCAATTTTTCTAGGACCCGCCGATCTTAATGTTAAAATTGACCAGGGCCTTATCAAAGATGTCATCTGGAAAACCCCTACGTCTAAGCGCAATTTTCAAAGTAAAAAGAAATGCAGCCTCAGTGCCCGGCAGAGTCCCCATATCAACTGCCTTGTGGAAAA